TAGATCAGTTGGCAGATCTCGTTAGGTGATGTATTGGACCCTCAAAACGATTGAATTAACATTAATGACACAGTTTACCTAATGAAGCCAATCTCCACTTGATCAGGGTTTCGATCTACTTCTAGTACTCTGACTCTGACGCTTGATAGGGTTATCAGCTAAAATCTTTTTGCAATTTATCTCGTATGGCGAGCACTGAATACGTTCAAAACATTCCAGCGAAAACTTCTGAATGACTTAGACTCTGAATCCACACAGTAAATTTTTAACGCATTATAGCAATATGAAGTGCAAACCTGAACACTTAGGACTCCTCCTCATAATTCTTTTTCACTAAGATTGGGTGTTGCCCGTTAAAACTGCGGAAGGAACGTCTTCTTCACCGTATTGTGGAGAAAGTGCTAGAAAAAGTCACAGAAACGTTTCATTTTTAATTGCATATTTTTCCCCTATTGCGGACGTGTTCTGAAAAATGTTAAACTGTTACAATGTTCTTCTGTAAATTTATAACGCAAGGCACAGCCTCTTAGACGTTCCTCAATGCAAAGCAGCATCTCAATAGCTTAGTTTACAAAATCGCTTTTGTACAGCAATTCGCTTTATACACTGTCGTACGTAAATATTTCAAAGGGTGAGTTGAACCCTCTGTAGCTGCCTATTAGCTTCTTCCATTGAGTGATAGGTTTTGTCATTAATTTTAGAGTTGGGACAGCTTATAGTGGTTTTTTGCTTATCAAGAAAATACACGGAAATTTTTTACTGACGTAATTAAGAGCCTTCCTTCCTACTCTTCTTCATTAACCCTTCTGTATTCCTCTAATTTTTCATCTTCAGTTTCTGCCACCCTTCTTTTTGAGTATGATTTTGGTGTCAGCAAAAATGATCTTCTAAATTCCTGCAAATCTTAATCTGGAGGATTATTTGATTTAGGAATTACGTAGCTAAAACTGGACTCTCTCCATCTCGATTGCAGAATGGCTTTGTAGTTGAGCATCTGGTAACGTCCTCGAACCTTTGCCAATTTTAAATCTCTTGTACTCCCTGTTTCAATACTAAGTTTCATAACTAAAGCTTTTTGAAATCTTTGCGTAACATTTGCACGATAAAAACAAAAACTCAGTATTGCTTTATTTTCATCTCAATGATTTCACAAATTATGAATTAATTGTACCGTAAATTGCCTTGATATAATTCTAACCTCTTTTCGCACTGCGACAAGCGCATTAGGGCACACCAATCAATCATCTATAACTGAATATTCCAGTATGAACTGTATTTCTCTAGTTATAAGTCATTTTGAACTGTTAATATACGTTTGTTTGTCATCTTCAGGAGTCTTCAATATTCGTGTTGCTTTTCGCAACCACTGAATACCATCTGGCATTAAGCAGCAGCTTCCACATGGCTCCGTATTGTGAAAAACTGATTTCTACCAAGGTTCCATTTGTTTATTTTGGCAAACGGGTACATTAAAGCTTGATCATTTGGATCATTACCTGAATTTGCATGTTAACAGTTTAGCCTGAAGCAGACATGGTCGAAAATAACATGGAAAAGAAAGTAAATGAAACACTGGTTCGAAGAACATATGAAATCTTCATTGGACTTGAAGATGCTGATGACGCTACGAGATCTGCTCTGCTCGATTTCAGTATGCACATGGCTGGGATGAACGTCGATTCGGCGTACAAGTCTCTTCAGAACATAACGAAGTGAGAAAGAAAGTTGTCTAACTTACTTCTGAATCCCATTCACGTGTAATAACGAAACTATAATTAGTCGAGTTATGTCTCTGAATGATTATATGCGTATGTATGTGTGCATGCATGTATATTTATATGTGTGTATGCATGCTTGTATGCAAATATGTATGTCGGTAGGAAAAGTACCACACTAGTGACAAACAATGGCTTTGACACTGGCATAACAGCAAACGGGGTAGAAAATAGCAAATAATAATGATTGCGATTATGATGACGGGGGGCATCATAATTTATATATCGAGACTGAAATAGTTAAAAAAAATAATGCCACTTTAAATGGCTGTTCCAGCGATGATGCAAGATTTGATTTAGAGCCCTGTAGTCTGAGGTGCCCTGGCTTGTGAGCCGCTTGCTCTCCAACTCAAATTATCATGCCTGTGATAGTTGAAGCACTGACCAGGATTTCATCCAGGAAACTCGTCAAACTTGCATGACGACGACTAAGGGCCGTTCATGAAGTCAGGTGACCGGGATGCACTGAACATCTGGCATTGGAACGCTATGCAATGCTGAACAATATTCATGAGATATATGAAAGCAGCGATTAGTGAACTAACTTTGTAATGCTGCCGGTTCTCAACTGAACTTGAGAGAAATTGCTAGCTATGAAAATGAATGAATGAAGAAACGAACGAATAAATGAATGAGTGAACGATTGAATGAATGAATTTCGTCATGATGCAGTCTTCCACTAATTATAGAAGAAAATTGTGAAAACATATTTGCTCGCATTTATATTTTTCGCACAAGTGAAACATGAACGAAA